ATTCGTATGTATGTATGTATGTATGCATGTCAACTCGTGGTATAATTTGCAGCCACTTTCCAAAGGTACGGCACGCTGGGATCTACTTCATGAAAAATCGACCATAGTTAGATTCCAACCTGGGTATCATGGTTATAAAACGAACGTTGTATTCACTCTGGTACGCTCATTGTAAGTGACATTTTGTAGACGAAACACATGGGACCGTTGATAGCTGTGATAGCACAAAGTCACAAGTCATCGTGACCGAGGGTTTGAGTGTGCTGGAGTTGTTCATATTATTGATCATTCTTGCTAATACGCTCTCTCCCAGAAACTGTAACTAAAGTCTGCATAGCATAGTTGCAGTATAAAACACAGACTGTCTCTGTGGCTGTTGAACAATCACAAAAGTGCCTGAGCGAGAGTCTGCAATAGGAATTGTCTAGCCGCCCTTATATATATATATATATATATATATTGCATAAGGTTATCTATTTTTATCACATTCAGTTCGTATTTGTCTATCTGTGACATTCGATTCGTATATATATATATATATATATATATATATATATATATATATATATATATATATCGATCTGTATCTACCTGTCCCATTCGGTTTATATCTATCTATCTATCTATCTATCTTTAATGAAATGCTGATGTGCATAATTATTGAAAAATCTAAAGCAGAATCAGAGAAAAAAAATCGAATTTATGCTGAAGTTGTCTATATACAATTAGCAATATGAGAAAATCATGTAACCACTTCTTATTTCGCATTGTATCGCCACAAGATAACTTTTAAATTATCTTCACTCCAATCTTGCTTGTTAGATATATAGATTGATAGATACGAACCGAATGTGATAGATAGATAGATAGATAGATAGATAGATAGATACGGAATGAATGTAAAATAGATCGATCTTTCCAGGATGTATCTGCAAAAATGTTTACAATTTCGTTATCCGCTTTAAGATATCATAAGAAACTTGCCATCGTTGGAAATAATAACTTAGCAGCCTTGATTCTTTCATGAGAAAGGGATTTATAGTGTATAATTATAGTGTTAATGGCAATATAAGTGTTTTCTTACTGGAAACATTAGACATACTTTGAACAGAATTTTTGTATAAATATCTCCTGAAATTTATAAGCTATTTCTTTTAAACTCTTTCTTCAGTAAAGTATTCCACTGTTATCACTTTTCTAATAATAATCGGAGTTTTTATATATATATTATTTTGTGATGAGCAGAAAGAAACCTTGGGAAATATTCTTAAAGAGTTTGAGGGAATGGCCAGTGGAACTATAAAAAAGAGGTCTTGTAATTTTTACAGATTTACACAGAACTAGAAAAGATTGGCCATTCCGAAGAGCAAATATCCTGAAATCATACGGCACATAAAAGAAAGAAGATTGCCAAATTGCAGATGGATGATCTGTGATTCGAAAACGGGCACACATCCAAATCAAATTTGATAAATAATTTCATTATAAGAATCGTTAAACAAGATTTTCCTGGTTAGCCTAATTGCTGAACGGAGAGATTTTGTTATGGAAACCAGTGATAGTAGAACGATGGCAATATCAGTCCTCCTATACGACAGTAAAGGCTAGACAATCTCCTCACAGATGAAGAAGAGAATTAAAGCAACAGATGTGTGGTTCTACAGAAGGATGCTGAGAATACCATGAACAGAACATGTGTGCAGCGACGAAGTTTTAAAGAAAATGGGAAGAAAAAAAGGGCATTTATAATTAATATAAAGAAGAGTCCATTGAAATTTCTAGGACGCGTAATGAGGAAAAAGTGCTTGGAAAATTTGATACTCACATGGCGACTTGAAAGCAATTGGGGTAGCGGAAACTAATGAATCACGTATCTAGCGAGGAACACCTCGAGGCGGTGAAATAGTTAGCAGGCTTGTCTTGCTAGAACATTTACAATTGAATATTGTGTTCGATCCTCACTGGGTGCCCAATAATTTCTGCCTTGTGCCACATCTAAGCTACGCTTGGAAAATGACCATCCCCTATATAGCGAGCTTCAGTAATTGGATGGCGGAAAAAAAGTTTTAGGAGAGATAAGAAAAAGACGAAATATATTGAGTACAAACTGTAGGAAATTGTGGAGGGCCATGATCCCCAACCTCCTGAAGAGGCATGGCACCCAAGAGAAGAAGTAGAGAATCCTGATTTGGTCTGTCTGACCTGCATCAATTCAAGAAAATGCTACAGCATATTGAAAGAATAATCTGCCAGACACATTCGTTAAAACGTTAATTTTCGCAAGGGAACATATTGTCTAAATATCTTCCTTTCTTCTTGTTCTAATTTTCGGTGTGTAGAGCAGAATAAAACACTTACCATTCATATACAGCAGGCTGAATAGATTGTACCTATATTTGTAAAATCGGCTGTAGCAAATGACTATTCGTATTTTAAAACTTCAATGAAAGTCATCAAGTTTCTGGGAGTAGGGTCTTAGGAAGAATGAAGCGGTTGTTGTTCAAGCAAAACTATCCAGGGCAGGACCCAGGTAAACAAGACAGAGATAACGGACGAATCGATCAGCTGTACGGCAAGAGGCGCTTATGGCGTAAAGTGTCTGGTAGGCTGCTAAAGAAGCCAGGCCAGCTTATCAGCGACACGAGGAAGAGAGAAAGAAGACAACAAAAAGCCAATTTAAAGATCACGCTTTCGAAGGGCTGATTGAATTTGAGAGCATTCAGTTGGGCCGGACAATTGAATTCAACGCTAATGAAGTTAGGTTGTGAGATAGAGTAGTAAGAGAAATCCCACGTCACTCCACCCAACACACACACACATATTTGCAGGGTATTTGACTGTGTGTGGGTATGTGGGTGTGGGTGTGCCAGCTTTCTTGTATACTTAAGTTTCATAAGTTAATTAACATATACAAATGTTATATACATTTCTGTTCAAGCTGGATCTGTTAGCAAGTTATTCTTGCAGATTATTAGCTAGTGAGTAGTGAGTTCGTTCTAATCTAGGTGCTCCAAACTGGTGACCTTTTGTCAAAAAAAACGTATGCTTTGTAAATAGCTAGGGAGTGTGGAGGGAGGGGTAGAGGGAGAGTGTAAGAGAAACATAATGTTAGTAATTCACAAAAAGAAAAGGAAAACAATGTATGAGTCAGTGTTTCTTTTGTTGCATGTAAATAAGCAGAGAGAGAGAGGGAGAGAGAGAGTGTATGTAAGTGCAGGCGAGAGAAACAGAGGGAGCTATCGAAAATAAGAGCATGTGCATGTACTGAGAAGGAAATGAATTAGTGGATAATTTTCGATATCAATATGATATATATAGATATATATATATATATATTATATATATATATATATATATATATATATATATATATATATATATATATATATATACAGTGTAACCCTGATATAAGAGAGTTGTTGGGACCAGAGAAGAAGTCTCTTATATCCGGGTTTGGTCTATTTTATATACATTAACACAGGCTCTAATTTGGGACCAGAGAAAAAATCTCTTATATCCGGGTTTCTCTTTATCCGGGTTACTTATATATATATATATATATATATATATATAATATATATATATATAACGAAAATCTTATTGATCCGTATGAATGATCCAAAGTTAAGAGCGAATAATTTAATTTAAAAGAAAAACAGACCACTTTAAGGCTCCATAGTAATAATTTATTTCACCAGAGAATTTTAATTTTTCTCTGGATCCTCAGACTTTACTTTCAAAGACGAAACGAAAATAAAATTAAAACTAAAAATTAAAAAAAATACACTTTAAATTAAAATTTACACTTTTGACGGGCAGTATTTATATTATATATGTTGAATTAGAGGGTGATGAGTAATGGTGTGAGAGCCGTGGTCGAGCTTAGAGAGGGAAGGGAGAGTTTAAAATTTATCTTTATATTTCTTTATATTACAATACTTAATATTGAGGGAGGAGGGGGTAAGGATAAGAGATTGACATATTTAATCGGTCAACGGAAATGACATGGGAAAACGATGAAAGAAGAAAAAGGAAAAAAAAGGGGAAAGTAAAGAGATAAGAGATCTACATAGGGTTTTTAGAGGAAGGAGACGGGTGACATAACTTTAGCAATTTAGATAAAAAGAGATTTTAACGTTTGATATTAATTTAAATATTTAAAAATGTTTACAAAACTCTACAAAGAAAATAAATTTAATGCTAGTTAGCTATTTAAAAATCAACTTCTAACACAAATAAATTAGGGTTTTAATATAAACCGAATATCATATTAAAAAATTTCTAATTAATATTGTGAATGACTGTTATATATATATATATATATATATATATATATATATAGAGAGAGAGAGAGAGAGCGATGTATAAATTGCTGTGTAAATGAAAATAATAATGACATCCTATTTTAAGGTATATTTATCAAAATTACACAAAATATCTTTTAAACCTAAAGAATCTATTTATTCAATAAAATCGCCATTGGCTTCAATTACGGCCTACAGATGACTTCGGAATCTCCTGAAATTCTTCTAGGCGGTCTCTTTCTTTAAGTTGGTGAAGTTTGCCATAATCCTTGCTTTCAGTTCATTTTTGGTGTTATAAGTTGTTTTGTTGATCTCTCTGTCTATTATGCCCCACGCATAATAATCAAGAAGATTGAATTCTGTGGAGTTAGGTGGCCAGATGTAAGGGGTGATATGGCCGCAGAAATTTTCTTACAGTCATGACTGGGGTCTCCTGGTTGTGTGTCATGGCACAGCACCCTATTGCCGGATACAGGTTCTTCCAGCAGTCAACTTAAAACACGTTAGCATTACTCACTCAAGGCGCTTGATGTTGACTTCCATGTTGAATCTGAGGCCCTCACCAACAAATTCGGGTGTTCTTTTCTCATCAGAAAGACCAGTGTGAGTTTTTCCGAGACACCGTACCTTCGTAATCACTATCATCCATCTCTTTCAGAATCCTCTGATCTCGCTTCAGATTGACACCCAAACACG